AGAGATGCAGTGATCCCTTTTATAGTTAGGCCCCTAACTGAATGGTGTCTAAGTAAAACTGATATGCCTCATCCTCCGAGCATGATATTCGTATCTAGTAGTTACTGAGCTTGTCTAACCATAATATTCCCTTTTATATATATCAGATGGAGGAGAAATTGGAAGAATTAGCCAACTGCTTTGGTAATGCATTTCACAGCCAGAAATTTAATGAAGCTGTGGCTTGTATCCGAAGAATGACTTACTATCAGCGTGTGAATGAAGAAATCTTGAAGAAGCTTTGATGCCAGGTACTACAGTTGAGTGTTTCTTTTTTTGCATTTTATGTTTTGTCCTCTTTTTTGCAGTTTGGGTATTGGAGGGGTGGGGCATGGGAATTGGATTGTTCTTATTAGTTTCTTATCAGCAATTCTCCTTTAGTTAGTATAATAAATTCTTCTCTTTGATTTACATCCCCTCATTTTGCAGGTGCATTTTGATTTGAGAACCCTACAAGCACCATCAACGCTGGAGAACAAAATCTAAGATAAAAAGGCGAATGCCCGGGATTCATTCATGCACACATTGGTTACATCCTTCTGCATAATTAATAATGTTGCATGAGCATGAGGCAAGATTGGAGGACTCCATGCTACCAATCCTTGTGCGGAGAAAAATTTAGTTACTATAGTGATGAGTTAATCCTTGTAACCAACCATTATCTTTACTCAATTACTCTTGTTTCAAGCTCTTTGAAGTTTGAATACCAATAAATTGGATCGGGTTACCCCCGTCGGATTCAATGTAATTCTTATTTGGCCAATTGAGAATCATAATAGAAAGAAGGTAGTTAATTCATTGCCTATTTTCATTAGAAAAACGAGGAAGAAGAAGAAGAAGAAAAAGGAGGGAAGAAAGAAAGAAGGTAGTTAATTGAACATTTTCTGAAAGGTTTGGGTTATAATTGGTGGGAAGAAAACATGGAGGGTAAATTTGTCAGATTATCTAAAGGTTGGTGGCATCAAAGTAAACTACCCTTGGTAGACAGCCAAGCCTAAGACGATTCCGTTTAATGGTGCTACGTGTCAACATTACACGATGCGGTTTCACCCGAAATAATGTTGTGCTATACAGGTGATGATATCTTGGCCAGTACGAAACGCAGCACACAAATAAGGGGAAATGGGATTGTCTAAAAAGACCGCTGTATCAGATTCTCGTCCTGAGGAAAATTCTGGATTTAGCGCAAACGAGAATGGGTTGGGTGTGGAGAGACGAACCGGACGACGAAGCCGACGCCGTCGTAGTCGCCAAATCGACTATTCGTGACGGCGAGCGCTGCTCCACCAGGAAGATGGTGAGGTCCCAGTGCAAGACGGAGGAGGTCGAGCCTGGAAAATTCGTCCGGAAGTGTGAGAAGACTGAGGAGATTCTCCGAGATTGCATCGGAAGGTAAGTGAATAATTATTAAAATCTGTTGCGTTTTCCTGTTTGCTTGAAGATCGAATATGCATGGCGACTTTTTGATCGTAGGGGTGTCTGTTTTCTTTAGACGGATTTGGAATTGATTGGAGGTTCTGCTTTTGGTGAATACGATCGATTTTAAAACCTGTACATGGGAGCAATTGTTTAATTTAATTTTTAGTTCTTACATTAAGGGCCTCTTTGCTATAGTGGTTAGTAGTTTTGCCTGGAAACTGCCAGAGCATAGGTGTTTTCTAAATTTGTTTATTTCAAATCTGCTACAAACTAGGTATTTGCTAAAATTTTTTATTTAGCGGTTTGGGATTGAAGGGGAAATTTTGATTAATGGGCATAATCTGATATTACACAATCCGAAATTGGTCCAGGTTTTGGGAATTTTCGTGGAGATTTGGTTGGTTGGTTCACATTCACTTGAGTAGCATGAGATAACATTGTTGCTTCTGTAAATTTATTAGTTTGAGAGGAACTGTAGAAGTTTGCGTACTCAATACTTTTCGTTTTAATGGTAGGATTGTTTCCTTATTTCCCAAGTTTAGATGTGCCCTTCCAGCATATATCTGAGCTTCTCTAGATGTAATGCGTCTAGGGATGGACGACTATGATTTAGAGGATTTATACCAGCAAAACAATTAACTGCAATTGGACTGACTAAGTTTGGTAGAAACAGCTAATGTTTCCGTGCATGGTTCTACTGTTTCAGATGAAATTTTTTCTATTTATGTTTACACTTGCCCACTTTGCCTTTCCCCATCGCTTTATTTGCATTTTTCCTTGATATGTGCATTTGTTATGACACTATAAAATTTTACATGTTAATGCTGCAATTAGGCCTACTGAATTGGTGAAATCCAACACAGAGTACACTGAGGAAGATGTCACAGAGGCGGTGTTAAAAGGTCGATTTCCCTTAGAATCGCATGGGGAAGCACCGTTTTCCTTCCCTGGTCTACGCAATGATATTGAGTCCATTGAACGTCACGTCTTTGGTGGGATCAAAAGTCTCTTTGACGCTGCTGAGGAGATGAGGAAGAGTTTCTTTGATGGTTTTGAAGAACTGCATGGCAGAGAACGGTCATCCTCACCTTCTATCAGGCGAAGGGTACCCATTGAAGGTCGTCCTGAGATAAAATCCTCTCCCAAACCAGAAGAGGCTGGCAATATTGATCTTTCTGGTTTAGCTAGAGATGTTTGAACTTTCTAGCTGCTCGCCAAGAAAGTGCCCTTTCGCGCTTCCATAACATCTACTGCTTTTTATAATGGGTTTATCCAAGGGTATAGGATAAGAAGTAATGATTGTATAATTATTATATTAATTTTTATCTTAACAATAATAAAGTTGACTTTTGTTTTAATTATAAGTGTCATATGTTAATTTTTTATTGTTTGTTTTAAAATTAAAATGAGATTTTCTTTTTAGTTTAAAATTTCATATTTGTAAGGTAATTATTGATTAATAATTACTTCTTATCTTGTGATTAAGAGTGCATAATAGAGAAACCCTTTTCTAATCTTCTGTTTTTCATATTGATGTGGATTGAAAGGCTCAAACTCTAGGAAGCCGTCATATTTTTCAATCTTCAATTCAGTCCGGGAGATAACTTTCTGAATTCCTGTTATACTTTGCAATGGGTACATGGCAGCACCTCTCCGTGCAATTTCAAATACTAACCATCCTTCCTTGCCAAGTATCTTCCCTAAATTTTAAATGATTGCCTATGATTCATAACATGATCGAAGGCGAGGAAAGCTGGTTGTTTTTTTTTTTTTAACTGGAAAGTTTATTGCATTTCAAAACTTCCCAATATTGGGTGATTATAGAGAAAAGCATTTTTCTCGCTTTAATTCATCTTGACATTTGATAAAATTGAGTTTTAGCTTGTGCTTGGTTCAACTAAACTTTTGCAGCATTCAGAGTTCAGTTTGAAATTCAATAATCTAATTCAACTAGCCACAGGCCTATCTTTTTTCAATTTAGAGTTATATAACGAGAAATAACTATTTGCCATCAAATAAATTCAAGAGTTCTTTTTTTTTTCTTAATGAAATTGCTAGTTTATCACTGTATCATTTAGGCTTAACAAACTTAATTTTTTAATTTTTAAAAGACAATAATAAATTGATGGGAAAGGTGCGTATCATGACTCCGAAAAAAAAAAATCCCAATCTTAAATGCGTTGGTTTATATAATTAAAACTCAATTCAAAACTTAAAAATTTATTTTATTAAATATTAATATTTGAATTTAAAAATTAATTATATATTTTAATATTATTGGTTTTCAAATTCATATAACAATATATAATAAAATGAATTTTTGATTTTTGAATTAAAATTTTAATTTCTCAATGTAAATATCAATATTTAAAAAAATAAAATTTTAAATTTTAAATTAAATTTTAATTAAATGAACATACTCTATTCTTTTATATTCTAAATTTATTATTATTTTCTTCTGTTATGGAAGATCAAAGCCCATCTTGCCATCCAAATATACAAGTGAAAACTTTCGAAGGCCCAAAAATCACCCAAAAAATTCTCGACCGTTGATCTCCAAGTCCAAGGGGGACACAGAAACCCAAGATGTCTGAGCGGACCATATCACATCATCCCCCATACGCTTAAAATATTTGAACTTTCCAACAGAAAAACCGGTCTTTTCATTTTCCTTTTCCTTTTTCTTTCCGTCTTCAAATTTCAGGATCATCCACCTCAGGGAAAGGGGAAGGGAAAAGAGAGAAAATCGTCGCATTTTCCAGACAATCAAGATAAAAATCAAATAAACCCTAGTAAATTCTTGCGCCAGAGGAAATCTCACATCGCATTTCTTCCATATAGGCATGGTAAAGCAACGCCCTGCTCAGTTGGCGCCACCCAGAAGACGATTTCTTCTCCATTACCCGTTTTTTTATCTTTGGTTTGCTTAATCTGTAATTTTCATTTTTTTTTATATTAAGGAGTTTTTTCGTTTTGAGGTGGGAATTCGTCAATTTTGATCGTTTATGATATTGGGTTCCTCCAAAGTTTCTATTTTTAGGTTGGAATTAGGCTGTGCGCACGGTTCTGGACTTCTGGGATTGAATTAGGGATTCTAGGTTTCGGAAATTTTGTGTTTATTTGGTGTTCTAGATTTATTGTTGATTCTTCTCTGTGAGGATTTGCCGAATAAATATCATCAGGATAGGTTGCACGGTGGTGCATACGTTAGTCTGTTTTTGGTAGCTCAAAGTGCAAATTCTTGGTGGGAAGCTTATTCTTTCATTTTGGTGATGTTTTTTCAAAACTCAATACCCTTTATGAAGAGGAGAATGGGGTTTTGGTAGAATTGTGTTGTGCAAGAATTGTGGATGTCTGAAGTGTATAGAAATTATAGATAGTTTGAGATGGGAAATGTTTGTGGTGGAAAGGCTTCGATGTGTGGATCCTTAACATCTTCGTGGTGTTTTCAATCAGCCAGCGTTCCCGAGGATGGTAAAATAGAAAACGGAAATGGAGAACAATCCGAGTGTAAAGAGGCAGAAGTTGCTGCTATTCCAGACAAACCACCAGAATCAATGAAGATGGTGAAGGAAGATTCAGTAAAAGCGGAACAGGAAATAAAACCACAAGAGGAAGCCAAGATAGAAACAAAACCTCAAGAGGAGGCCAAAATAGAGACTGAACCAAAGCGGCTGCCCACAAGACACAATTCTAAACCGGCCTCAAGAAGAATCAATGAAGAGAATAAGCCAGTAGAGGCTGGCAAACCAAAGAAGGCCCACAATGTGAAGAGGGTGTCATGTGCAGGGTTACAAATAGAGTCGATTTTGCAAACAAAAACAGGTCATTTGAAGGAATACTATAACTTGGGGAAGAAGCTAGGACATGGGCAGTTTGGAACAACTTTCCTGTGTGTGGAGAAAGGAACTGGAAAGGAATATGCCTGCAAATCCATTGCGAAAAGGAAACTAATAACTGCAGATGATGTAGATGATGTGAAGAGGGAAATCCAGATAATGCATCACTTGGCAGGCCACCCTAATGTTATTTCAATCAGAGCAGCTTATGAGGATTCTGTGGCAGTTCATGTTGTCATGGAGTTGTGTTCAGGGGGGGAACTCTTTGATAGGATCATTAAGAGGGGGCATTATTCAGAAAGAAAAGCAGCAGGACTAACTAGGACAATAGTTGGTGTTATAGAAGCCTGCCACTCCATGGGAGTCATGCATAGGGATCTTAAGCCTGAGAATTTTCTTTTTGTTAATGAGGAGGAGGATTCCCCCCTTAAGGCAATAGATTTTGGATTATCAATATTTTTTAAGCCTGGTATGCTCAAAAAGCTCTCTTTTTTTTTTCAATGGGAATTAAACAAATTCTCTTCTCACTTCATCATTATTGCTATTTTATGTCATCTAACCATCAAAGATTGGCCATGGATGTCTAGAACATCACATTCCCTTCTACTCCATTTAATCTTGTTGTCTAATGTTATGGAAACTTGATTAATAAATTCAGCCTAGTTACATCAATAGAAAATTTTTGCTGCATTGGTAGAGATGGATACATTATGTGTTTTGAGTTCATTCTATGTGAATGACTAACTTTCACTCTTCTTCTGTTAGGCGCATTTGAACTTAAGTGAAGTCTCAATCAATAATTAGCCTGATGCCATACATATTAATGAATAATGAACTCCTTGATATGTAATAGACAGACCACTCTATTTTAAGGCCATATGTATAGTTTTTGACACAATTAATCCTTCTTTTCCACATTTGCGGTCAACATCAAATGGAAATTCATTTTAGATTACCCTTTATACATTTCTCCACGATGTCAAATCGAGAAGCAGTTCTCATGTTGGATTTCATGGTGCAAGAGTTGAACTTAGTTTTATCTTCTTGTGGTTATCATGAAACTATGATTTTCTTGATTGGCTGCAGTAGCTCAACATAACATTCACTTAATGTTAGTTCACATTTTTCTTTTTCTGCCAATAGAAGAATGTCAGTATCACACTTCCTTACCCCTGCATTCTGGTGAATATTTTTGATAGGTTGATCCTTTGAGCTGTGCTCTTATACATGCTTCCTCTACCAATTAAATGTTTAGTAGAATTTTAGATTTTGTTGAAATAATCTTTAGTAATCTCTCCTCAAGATCAGTAATCCAATACTTTCAGGGGATATATTCAGCGACGTGGTTGGCAGCCCATATTATGTTGCGCCTGAGGTTCTGAAAAAGCACTATGGTCAAGAAGCAGATGTGTGGAGTGCTGGAGTGATTCTATACATTCTCCTAACTGGGGTACCTCCATTTTGGGGTGGTATGGCACTGAGATGTCCATAGATGGAAATTCTCATTCATTTTCTTATAAAATTTCTAGCTCATGCAATTTTTAATGTTTATTCATCTTGTCCTTTATTATATACTGATGTAGAAACTGAACAAGAGATATTTGATGAGGTTTTGCGTGGTCAACTTGACTTCAAATCTGATCCATGGCCTAAGATCTCTGAAAGTGCAAAAGATTTAGTCAGAAAAATGCTTGTTAGAGACCCTCGAAAGCGAATAAGTGCACATGAAGTTCTATGTAAGTCCTTGTTTTTGTTTCTGATTATTTTATTCTGTGAATTTCAGCATAATACGTGATTCATTTAAACTAGAGATTGATGGTACTGTTACTTATGATTGATGTCTGTAGTTTAAATCTTGAGATTAGTGGGCAGATTTCCCAATTATTATCCTTTTAGGCTTAGTAATACTATTCTGGAACAAATAGCAGGAAATGACCTGGTTGTGGCCATTGAAACCACATGACCAGATTTTGTGTCCTACTGCTTCTGAGTTTTGATGAAAGTCATATGCTGTGAACAGCAGGTTGTTGAGGTCCATCAGTTCAGCGGTAGACAATCTCCTAAGTAACATTTCCAAATCATTATCAAATACTAAATGCAATATAGCATTTCCAAGAATAGTTGTCCAAAGACTCTCGTATAAGATACATGGCTCTATGTCACAGGATTACCCCTTTGAATACTTAGTTGGCACTTGGCGCTGCTAATATATTTTTGTTCCTTGCAGGCCATCCCTGGATCCAGGTTGATGGGATTGCTCCAGACAAGACTCTTGATTCTATTGTCTTAAGTCGCTTGAAGCAGTTTTCTGCAATGAACAAGCTTAAGAAGATGGCCCTCAGAGTAAGTTTTTGTAAATTTACTATAGACCAATCTCATGTTAATGTTCTTCAACAAAGCTTCAGGAATCATAATATGGAACTTCTCCAATCCACAAATCTATTAACTATTATATGATAAATTACTTAAATAATGATTCTTTCTAGACCATATCATTGTTCTCCCTTTTAAGCTTTCGTCGTGTCTTTAGGTCATTGCACAGAGACTTTCTGAAGAAGAAATTGCTGGGTTGAAAGAAATGTTCAAGATGATAGACACAGACAATAGTGGTCAAATCACCTTTGAAGAACTAAAAGCAGGGCTGAAAAGATTTGGAGCTGATCTCAATGAATCAGAATTTCTCGATCTAATGAATGCTGTGAGTAACATTACAGAATCATATCAGAGATTGATTATAGGCAGTGTTAACTACTTAAAATTTCTGTGGTTAGTCACTCGTAAGTCATAATTAAACCCCATATCTGATCCTTGTATATCTTTCAAACTTGCAGGCGGATATTGATAATAGCGGTACAATTGATTATGAGGAGTTCATAGCAGCAACACTGCATCTAAACAAAGTTGAGAAGGAGGATCATCTTTTTGCAGCCTTCTCATATTTTGACAAAGATGGCAGTGGCTACATCACTCAAGATGAGCTTCAACGAGCCTGTCAGGAATTTGGAATAGAGGATGTCCACCTGGAAGAAATGATCCGAGACGTTGATCAGGACAATGTGAGTCTTTCCAGTCAAAACCCCCATAATTAACAATGTTCTTGACAGAATTAAGGCTTCATGGCTAAGAGGAGCTATTCTTCTAGGAAAGAACGGGTTAACAAAGCCTAATGAAGATGAGTGTTAGTTTAGTGAATTATGTTTCACTAATCACTTTTTACCCTTTCTTTTCATCAGGATGGTCGGATAGACTACAATGAGTTTGTGGCAATGATGCAGAAGGGAAACACTGAATGGGGGAAGAAGGGATCGCAAGGAACAAACTTTAACATTGGATTTAGGGAGGAAACACCTGTTAGTTGACAGTTTAGTTTGATGAAGCTTTTTCTTCATTCTTCTTTTCTTTGATTAAAGTTAAAACTTTGTTAAGGCTTAATGATCTCCGGTAAACACTAGACACATCAACGGTTCCTTCAGCGGCCTTCAAATACAGGGTTTGCTTGGTAGCTTTTGTGCATGAAACAGATGCACCATATGGCTGTATATAGTTGTTATTTTCCAGGGAACACATTTACAACACATGAATACATGATGGTATGAATTTTTCACTAAAGTGTGCCTAACCCACATGCCTTGTTTGTATCAAAACAAGAGAAAGAACAAAACAAGACCTCACAAATCAAACATCACAACCTTTCCCATTCAACATCATGTTTTTTGTTTCCTTCTCAATTTTGACGTTCCCTTTGACTTGTTTCTTTTGGGACATGAATCTGGGCTAGATACAATATTAGGGAATTAATTATTAGGGACCTCGAAATGATATACTCAATTATATGCAAGCTAATATGATCTCTAATATTTGATTGAATTCGACAACAGATTTGAAAATTTAGGTGTGAATCTCGGAGGGGATTTTGTTTGTTCAATTTCTAGATTTTTTTCTCCTGCTAATGGGCTAATGAAATCATGGGATATTACAAATGAAACCTAAGTGGGGTATCTTAATAATGCTTAAGCTCATCATGTATAGTACAAGGTCCACACAGCTTAAACTATATCATCAACTCACCAATTAAATTCCCAAATAGCTAAGATGTAATGACAATTTATTTGTTGACAATGATTTGTTGATAACAAATCCTTCCATCCACTCATTCGCAGCACTCATATAACATAAAGTCAGTAGATGATTTACGCATTTCAATAAATAAAAAGAATTAATAAAAATTATTGTCATATTATATTGTAAAATTTTTTTGTTAATAAATATTGTTAACAAATCATTTTAACTCATATGATATAAAATGAGTATATGATTCACATATTTCAATAAATAAAAAAAGTCAATAAAAACTATTAACACATTATATTGTAAAAATTCATTGTTAATAAATATTATCAACAAATTATTTAAAAAAGATTGTAACTCGTATTGGATAACAATCAAGATCCACTGAATTGGGTGGCTTTACCATTGAATTAAGGTTTTTATTGGCAAAATTATAAGGAAAAAGTGTGTCAGTCAAGGATTAAGGAATCCCTTTATCCAAAATATTGTCTTTTTAGGGGCTAAAATCGCTCAGACGAGTGATTCTTGCAATCTTGCATTCTGTGACTGTTTATTTTTTGTTTAAGGCTTTAACTATCAAAACGATGCCACACTAATTCTTGTTATGGGTAAAACTGTGCTAATCGTCACACAGGAAAGTTGCAACCTACATATGATGATAACTCTAATTTTTATTTGTACATGTATATGCCTTTTTAGTCTGAAATTTTAGCTATTTTATGACCAAATGGTGTAAAATAATTAGCTAAATTATTAGTAAAAATGCGATTTCTCAATTATATGCCTAGTGTTCAAACTCTCATTCTCCATTCCCACC